TTCTTATTGGCTAGCTCTGTCTTAATTATTAACCCATAACTACTAATTTATGCATTTCTACATGGTCCTGTCTTACCGGAGAATGCCTTGACTCACATCCTCTCTTCCCGGGATCACACAGCAACTGCCTACACTTCCCAGAATTGTCCTCATCTCCTAGACCTGCCTGTCTTGTTGCCCTGTTGACCAACAGAGTTTTATTCATCAACCGATAAGATAAATATATACAGAAGGACAACCCCATCACATGTACAAGGAGAAGTGAGTAGTGTGTATTGAATGATGGTCCCAGAATAAAGAGTTTTAAGAATAAAAAGCATGTTTGACTATTCAAGTTTCTAGAAATTTCTCTAGGAAGAAGTAACTTTTAATTCAAAGTTTTCCAAGCTTTATCATAGAATCCTGTTTCAGAAAAATTAACAGATCACAACCTTAGTCAGTCATTATCTACCTTTGCAAGAGACACTGGTTCCACTCTACACATTCATTCATTCATTTTTTAATTGCACCTTACACAGTTTGTTACTAAGTATCAATGAAGACTTTTGAGCACTCCCTACTTAGCCATTATCAAGGGGCTTCAATCGTCATGAGCATATAAAAACCATTCTAAGAGCTTACTTAGACAGCTGCTGGGCTGTATACAAGACCTAATAATTCAAAATCTCCTGGAACAGAGAAGGAATCCGAGTTTGTGAATACTCTGTGACGATTATGTGGTAGGTAGTCTGAAGTCTACAAAACAGTCTAGAAAGGAGTGCTTTTCAATGGTTTGTGTGCTTCATTAGATGAAGCAGCTATACATTATCATCATAACATAGTCCAATTTTCAGATCACTTTTCATTTCTTATGAGTTGTAGATGAGAATAGCTTAGAGACAACTTGTGACCACACAATGAAAAGCTACCAAGTAGTTTTAGACTCAACTTCAAAAGACATAATATTGGAGTGTTGATATGGCTGTAGATGAAAGTACGAAGTCAATCATTTGGGCAAAATCAGTTTCAAGTTTACATACTCAATAAAAGTCTCTTAGATGTGTCTGTCACTCCTGCTACCCACATAGATTATTCATTCTTGCCATAAACTGCATTGCCAAGAAACTAAGGTTAAAGAAGTAGGGTGGAAGCTTAAGAAGTCATCTAATTTTATGACTTATTAACTACTGATTCATAGGCTGGAATGAATAGTTAGAATGTTATTTTAGACTATCTGAGAATTTCATTTGCTCTCATTACCACAGATGATGAAAAATTAACTGTCAGAAATTTCAAAGCAAGACGGAGGAAGATGATAGAAAACAGGAATTAGTCATCATTTTGAAGATTTTTCTGGGTTAAAATTCTTCAGGTAACATAATGGAGATAATACTGTATTTCTTTATAGTATCACATCCCTTTTTTTTTAACAAGACAAATTATAAGTTGTGTGGCCAATGACATTTATTGAATACAGGTGAACTTTGCTCTTAGGTCACTTGTTAAATTTATTGTAAGAAAACCCAAGGATGAGCTGCAGAATTTCAGAAGTAGTTGATTACATCTTCAAAGCCCAAAATTTTCAGCTAACTTCCTCATAAATAACCTGTAGACTCACAGTATAATGTCTAGCATCTTTTTTTAGTTTGATACCCAGTGTTATAGCTTCCTCCCTGCTAGGAAGTGGTGGCGAATAATACTGTGCTTACTCAGTAACTCTGTAAAAACTGGCATTAGGGCATTTTGGGTGTGTGTATGGGTGGTGCCTGTGTAATGTATGTACTTGTGTGGTGGTTCTTAGTTTTGTCAACTTGACACAATCTGGAGTCACCTGAGAAGGGAGTCACAATGGGGAATTGTCTGTTTTGGGTATGCCTATGTCTGTGCCTATGAGGAATTTTCTTAATTGGACTCATTGAATTGGGAAGACTCCCCCTGGATGTGGGCAGCACCATACCATGTACTAGCCCTGGACTGAATGAAAAGAGAGTGTTCTGAGTGCATAAGCCTGTCCTGGATGATTCATTGTTTCAAGTGTCTGCCACCTTGACTCCCCTTGTAATAAAGGACTGTCACCTGGAATTGAGAGTTTAACAAGCCCTTTCTTAAGTTGATTTGTGAGATTATTTATATCGCATCAACAGGAAACAGTTGAGATAAATTGTTAGTATGGGTACATGTACATGTTTCTTGGCAGATGTATGCATATACGTGTGTATGCTTGTGAATAATGAATGGAGGTTGACATTGGGTGCTTTTATCAATTTCTCACCATCTTTCGTTTTTTTTAAAACAAGGTCTCATTGAACTGGGAGCTCCCGGATTCAGCTAGAATGGCTGATCAAGGAGCTTCAGGATCTGTCTGGTGCCCTCCTCCTGAGACTGGAGGGAAGGGCTCCATGCCAGGCTTTTTATGTGAGTCCTGGGGATCAAAACTCAGAATCTCATGTTATGTGACATGAACTTTATCAACTGCACATTCTACCCCAAAACCTGGCGTTCATTTCCATGGATTTCATGGCCAAAAAACATGGCTTTCTTTTGAATGACTTTCAAACTTTCCCAAAACAGATTTGTTTCCTTGTTTTCATCTTTCTACACAGTTGGTTTGTAAAGTATATCAACACCTAACAATATAAAGTTACATACCTCAGTGTTTATCCATTCCTATTGCATGAACTTCTGACTCATGCCATTTCTGATCCAGTATCACCAGCTAGATATAAAAGCATGTGACTTAAACGTTAATCTATCAGTAGCATTAACAATGCAGACTAGACACACACAATTGAGATTAATTCATTTTCTTTGTTGGAATGTTGCACTGTCTCAAGGGTTGCTGCATTGCCTGGGTTTCTCACATAATCTCAAGAAAATAAACATACTTCCTGGCTGATTAGTCTCTATCCATATCTTGACTATTCTGGCTCTGTGTTCTGCCTTATTCAGCCACTTCACAGGCTCGTCATGGACGTTTCAACTATGAGGAAATTTGAAAAATCAAAGAATGAGAGTTTGGAAATGAAATGAGGTTGGGGTGTGTTTTATTTGCTAAGAGAACAGTGACTTAGAGTTGTGTTGACTGACAGCAGTCTTTAAGGTTTGGACTGCTCCTTTAGCTTCTCCATGGGATCTCCTTAACAGATCTAGGTCACTGTTCTATCTAGGTTCCTGGCTTTATTGCTGGCCCACACCTGAAGAAAGGGGAGTTTTCGATGCTGTGGTTTATTAACCAGGTACTTTCCATTCACTGTTAACAATTAGAAAACAGAAAGAAGAAATTTTTAAGAAGGGGGAGCCTCCTACTTGTTTTCTTTACTCCAAATAAGAAGACGGAAACAAATAAGGAGGGAAACTCCCCTGCAGTTCACCTTGACCTGGCTGGACTGGTCTGATGCCTGTAAGAATCAGTGTAAGCAGTGCTCTGTAAGCCAGTAAAAACATCAAACTTCAAGATGCTGAAATAACTTCTGCCCCAGGGGAAAAGGTATCATACTGGAAAAGGTGCTCTTTCCCAAACCCAGAGATCTGGGTTCCTTCCTTCTGGTTAAGGTGGCATTGTTGCTGACAGGACCTGGGGAGGCAGCTCTGTTTAATTGGCTGTGAAGCTTAACAATGCTCTAGCCTCACAATAAAGTCTGAATTGCAAGCCTACACAAAGGGCCTCCCATCCATTGTCTCTCTTAGCTTCTCACTCACTCCACTGCTGCTATCTATAACTTCTTGATTCCCTTTACCGGGAAGGTGATGCTTAAGGTCAAAAATTCCACTATAACCAAAAGACCAAAGGGCCAAGGGACCCTGGGGAAAAAAGCTATGTTGTCCCTTTCAGGGCTGAGGGTCCACAAAAGGGAACTGTGAAATATCTCTGCCACTAAAACAGGTCTTGTCTAACTCTCCAAGGGCCGGGGAGACCCCTGACAGATCTGGGATCAGACACAGAGTGAGCTCTTAAGGCTTCAGGGAAAGTAGTCAGAGCACACATACTCCAAGAGCAGCATAGTGAGTGTGGGGAGAGGCCCCTGAACTCCACTTTGTATGCAGCAGCTGCAGGCTGCACAAAGAAGCATGCTGCGCGAGGATGAAATGTTGGGGTTCACAGCTGCCATCCCGGCTAAGCAAAGTCCCCCACTGCACCCGTCATGGGAGCTTTGGGGTTCAGGATTCTGGGGGAATGAGGGAAAAGAGAGCTCAGAGTGCTATTCATGTTGTGCTGCTAAGCACCAGGAATTCTTGAGAACGATGGGAATGGCAGTTATCAGATTCGAGGGGGGAGAAAAAGAGCTGGAGTGAGCAAAACAAAGAGCGAGTGTGGGCCGCAGTGACTTCATGCCTCACCAATGTCCCGCCCACGCTACTCGGAGCTGGAGCTGTTGCTGCTTCTGCGGCGGCGGCTGCTGCTGCCCTGGGCCGCTGCGGCGCTTGCTGGCTACAAGAGCAAAGAGCAGTGTAGCGTGGGGTGGTTTCCTAGCAACTCTCAGCTCCGAGCACACCCAGCCACCCGAAGGCTGGGAGCCCCCCTCTGGGGGGACCCACAGAACTAGAGCACCCCATCCCTGCCCATCGCCTGCCTCGCCTCCCTTTCATACTCTCCGGGTACAGCCCAGAGAGCATCAGCTGCCAGGGTTCTGGGTGGCCAGACTCCTGAGCCCACTGAGGTACGCAACTCCCTCCCAGCAAAGCGAGTGGAAGGAACGTCCCCTCCCAGCCCGGTAGGCAGCAGTGATTCCTTGCTTGGTTCCTGCGGGGCGCAGACCCGGGCTTCTAAGGCGCCCGCCTAGCCATTCCCCCAGCTGCTGGCACCCGAGCCTCCTCTCCCGCCAATCGGGACGCTGACGCCCTTGGCTCTCTGAGACTAAGTGGAGTTGGCCTCCCTGCCCACCTGTGGAAGAAGCTCGCACCGACAGATGCGCCAGCGACTCCCCCCCACCTCCCACCCCCTTGGCCTTCTAGCCGTCCCCTCCCACTAATGCAGCATCACCCTGTGAATTACATTAGGGTGGTTTTCCCCCCAGCCTCGGGCTTTGTTTGGGTTTGATTGTGTTTGGCTCTTCAGCTAAGCTGATTTATGCAGCAGAGCCCCATCCGCTGGAGAGGAACAAAAGCTCTTTTCTTTGTCCAGAGTGGACTGTGGAACCCTTACTCGCTTCGCCGCCGCGGGGCCATCGGCTGTCTGAGGAGGTGCTTTTGGTTGAGACCGCGGGACCGGCTGTGCGGAGCTTGGAGGGCCGCAGGGGCCCTGAGATGCAGAGAGCTGCTCAGGCCCGCGTACCTGTATCGCCTACTCCGAGTCCCCCAGTGGGTCAGTCCGGCCTGTGGAAAAGGTCCTAGGGACTCTCGGCCCGCGGGCCCCAAGGTGCGCCCCCAAGTCCCGAGCGCACGTCAGGAAAGAGGCCAGGCAGCGGGCGCGGGGCGGGCTGCTTTGCATTATGTGCGGCTCGGCCCTGGCTTTTCTGACTGCTGCACTGCTCTGCCTGCACAACTGCCAGCAGCGAGGTCCTGCCTTGGTTCTCCGGGCGGCCTGGCTGTTTTCTCTTGTTCTCGGACTGGGCCAAAGTGGTAAGTTGTTTTTGCTTCGTTTTCTTTCCTTCTCCCAAAGTCTTGGGCTGGCATTGAGAGCTTCTGGCCTGGGCATCCCTGACAGGTAAGTGGAAGATGTCAGTCCTGAGACTTGAGGAGGGTGGGTTTGTGGCAAAGTCCTCCACAGAGAAGCCAGGTGTCAACCTATTTCTATCCTGAAATAGTCCATGGTACTGGAAAAGTAGTTCTTGAGTTAAGTTTGGGAAAGAGACTGTTGTACTAACAGAAGCCAAATTGGGGGTTCCGGTATTTCCCGAGGATGTCACTGTATAAACTGTGTTCCCCATTTTCTCATGGGGGGCAGGGGCACACCATTCACCGACAACATTTGGATTAAGGTTGTGACTAAAATGATTAATCACTGGACAAAGTCTTCCATTTATTGGTCTATGGAAGAACAACAACATACAAGTTTCTTAAAACCATAACATTCAGCCTGAATGAATTAAATGTCCTTGAGAAGTATGCATGCTTTAAGCCACTGGAGGGGGTGGAGTGACAAAGAAGACTGTTGATAAACTTTTGTTGCTAATTGATCCCTCTTTAAGTTCAGTCTCTGATACTGAGAGGTCACCTCCCTATAAACTTTACTGCCCTCATCTGTAAAACAGATAAAGATAACTGCCTTTCCTAAGCCACAAAGGACAGTTCTAGTCAAATACTACATGAGAAGGAGTTTGGGACTTCAGCGTGGTAGCATTGTATTCTCAGTGACCCATGAAACAAAATAAGCAACGATAACAATTACCAGTACAACGATCAAATTTACCATAGAGGTCAAATATTGTATTTTTGCAAATGGTGTCACCATTGCCATACTTAATTTTTTTTACTCTTCTGGTCACTAACCCTTTAAATTTTATTAGAGACTCCTATAGCCTCTCAACTTGAAAGGAGCTTTAATTAATAACCACACTTCTGTTGTAAAACTAAATTTTACTCCTGTACTTTGAATTGATGTTCCTGAAGTTAACTAAAGCTTAAGCTTATATGTAAAACTTATGGTCGAAAAATCCAGATAACTTCTCTTAATTGTTGCATAGGTTTTTGGGTAAGACTTTCCCAGTTATCTGAAACAGGACAAATTAGAGTAAAATTTTATCTTGTGGTTATTTTGAGACTTACTGATTTCAGAATAAGTGAAACCTACTGAAAAGGAAAGAATCACATTCATTATCAAGTGTCTTTTGAATGGAACATGTGTCTGCCACTGCAGAATTTCCACTGAGCATAATTCCATCCAATGTCAGTAAGTAGTAAAGTGTTCTTAAATAGATTTAATAAACATTCACACTAGTAAATGATCAAAACTTGTGCCAACAGAATATATTTTGTTCCAAAGAAAGTCTCACCTTTAACATTAGCTAATAATAGAGGTTTTAAAATGTTGATTGTGCTTGTAAAGATAAGTCAGGTTCCTGTATAATGGCAAGATATTTCCATCCAGTGACTATTATTGATTTGAAGCAAATATTACGAATGGGCTGTCTTGCACCTGCTGACCTGGAAAGTGAATGCTTATCTGAAATTAAAAAAAGACATCCTTTCCACAGCCTCTGTCAATATACAAAGGCTTCTGATGTATACTGACTTGCATGGTAGTTAAAAACATGAAAAAAATTTAAATTACAGCCAGTACCACTCAGCAAATTAGAGATCAGTATAAACAGCTGTACTTTGTGATACAGCTACAAGTCTTAAATTACAGGTCTCCACTGTGCAAATTGAATGCTTAGAGCTGGATAGAAATTTAGGTATCAGTTACAAAAGAAATCTTTTCCCCATGCCCAGTAGTTTACACCAATAAAAATGGTGAGGGCAATAAAGCCATACTATGAAGACTACAAGCTACACAAGAAGCACATCACTTTGACTTCAAATTTTAAAGTACAATTTATACAAATGCATTAGACTGTTAGTAATGTGGGCAGAAGGAGCTGAGGGTGGCTGAATACAGTAGGTGGAGCATGTTATGAATGAGATGCAAAGATTTCTTATATAGGAAACATTACTCCAGTTTCTTTTAACTTCCCCTCACAGAAACTAATGGGGACTGGAGACAAAACTCATCAACACCAACACTAAAAAACTGCTTACCAATGGCTTTCCATTAAATATAAAAATTAGTTAACATTTGAATAATTATTATAGCAATACTTTACTTCTACATTTGCTAATATTAAAAGATTAAAGATAATTTCTGTTACCCAATTATAGCAACAGAAAAACGGCACATTTCAAAACTCAAAATTTCTTTAAGTGGTAACTATTACTGCAATGAGATTTAATCTCCTGTTTATTGAGCTATCAGATGCTTATTTTTTTCTATTACAATCAACTAACAGAAAGAGCATTGCTCTGTGACAGCAGCAAGACTTTCCCTCAAATAGATTCAATCATATCAAGTATTCTCTGAATATCCCCTTCCCTAGTTGTGTGTGTGTGTGAGAGAGAGAAAGAGAGAGAGAGAGAGAGAGAGAGAGAGAGAGAGAGAGAGAGAGAGAGAGTATGCACTCATATGCACAGATGCACAGCCATGTTTTTGCATGTGTGGGGGCGCACATGTATATGGGTATGAATGCATGTGGGTGCACATGCATGTAGAAGCCAGATATTGATGTTGGAACCATCCTAAATAGCTCCTTCACCTTATTCACTGAAACAGAGTCTCTCAGTCAAACCAAGAATTCACTGATATTGCTAGTCTTGCTACCTAGCCAGCTTGTTTCTGAGGATTCTGTCTCCATCTCTGAGACTGGAACTACAAGCAGGTCAACCATGTTAACCATTGAGTCATCTCTTTAGCTCTTAAAGTTCTTTAGCTAATTTGTAAGAAAAAAGCTAATTAAGGGAACCAAGGCTTCATTTGGGAAAAGTCCCTGTTCTATGTCACTTCCATAAAATGTGTCCATATTAAGTCTATCTTTAAGCAACAGAGACATGTTGGGATCTATTTAAAAGTCATCTACGATTGCCTTTACATGGAAAAAAGTAGCTGATTTCAAAACTGTTGAAAGAGTTGCCAAACTTGTTTTCTTCAATGTTTCATCTCACCATATTGAGCCCTTGTGGGAAGGATTTATTCATTATGGTGTGGTTCTGCTCAGCTAAGATCTCATAGCTGCTCAGTTGTCAAATCTGTATCGAATCCTTGGTTACCACCCTGCTAGACCTATCATCAATTAAGAAGTTAACACTGTCCATGCATAAGTTAGCTTCTTAGACCTATGATCTCCTGGTTTAATCTCTTTCTTCATCTCTAATTTTATTCTTGTTCATCCTATGAACTTTGATAGCAGCAGTAGCTCCAGAATTCTGTCTTCATTTCTCTTATTAATATAGAAACCCCAAGTGAACTGATCCACATTTGGGGCTTTATATTGTGTTCCTATGATGGCACCACCCAGATGTCTATTTCCTATCTTGACTGCTTTTTGGATCTCCAGAGGAGAGGTCAAACTGCCTATTCAACATCCCTATTGTGTATTTAAAGACAAAATTGAATTCTACATATTCAAAACCAAAAGCCTAATTTTCTCTTCCAAACATACATACCCCTTTCATGTTCTGTCAATTCAGTCAATAGTGAGTCAGACTCTTGATAGTTCAGACTAACACTTAGTAGAACCCTTGATCATCTGTTTCTATCACATTGCACAGTCCATTACAAACTCTATTGCCATCACTGTGAATCATACAACATTGTCTTGCTTCACACAGTGGAAGCGTACCACATCTTCCCTTCTTCACAATGCATCATACCCCTATTGTAAAGATGCACATCAGTTCTTGTCACTCCTCCACTCGGAACTCTACATAGTTTTCATCTGTCATGAATTAAAGGCCAAGCTTTAGTTTTAGCATGGCCTTCAAGACTACAAGAGCTGTAGCTCTGACCATCTATCTGTTCCTCTTTGATTTGGTACTAGAAACACTGATCCTTGCTGTCTGTGGAGGCACAAGGCGTGGGTGCTCTATGCCCTCTCCCTGGAATGCTCCTGCCTGAGTTGTATTACTGCTTTCTCAACACCTTTCTTCTCAGTGTCTAGCAAACATCACCCGATCAGAGAGCATATCTATCTTTGTGTTTCCTGTGTACCCGTCTGACCCTGCATTCTGCATCTTTTATATCCGTAGTTCTTAGAAACCTGTGTATTACAATACATCAATTTGTTTGTTGTCCTTCTCTCTTTCCAATCCCACAACTAGAATACTGCTCATGTTGGGAAACATGTTGTTCTTTTTCCAGAAAACACAACACACACACACACACACACACACACACACACACACACACACACACACACACGTGCAAAATGGGCCAAAGAAGTAAAGTAGAAATATGCTTCTTCTAGATTGAGTCTCCAGTAAGTCTTGTTTATTTAAAGGCAGGATTGACTCACATTCTTTTCAAGTAACAAATAAATGTACTTCAAAGTCAGGTTCTAATATATTTAATAGAAAACAGTGATCTTCCAGAGAAAAAGGTCTTTCAACATTTGTAAAAATGGGGAAAAAGAGCTGTCCTAGGTTATACAGTTTCCTGACGGGGGAAGAGGCACTCCAATTAAAAAGAAAAAACTGAATCATTCCCATAGCCTGAATTTTTGTTTTGGAGAATTATAAAATCCACAGGTTATGTTCAGTCAATACAGCCATGTGGAGAATCTTAAAGTAAGGAAAACTGACTAGGGAGCAGAATTTCTTAGAATACATTTGTCAGTTGATCATTTTTAGATATATATTTAAATTTGAAAGATATATTATTTACTTGTGAATAAATATGCCTGCCAAGCTATGTCTTCATTATAAACTGAAAAATTAATGGCCTCAAAATAAGCCAGGAACAGTCAACAGATACAATTCATGAAAGAAAGGGAAATTTCGAATAAGATTAGGATAGGCAATCAAGATAAGTAAAATAGTTTCCACTCCAATTGGATATTTTATGAGAGTTAAGAAATATCATGATGTAAAAC